GCCCCACATCCCGCATCTGTGCCCACCAAACGCGTTCTGAACCAAAGTGAGTGTCTACTAACCTCAGAGCACGGAAGTTAGTAGACATGCCAAACTTTACTATGCTGAATTTGAACTTGTTCGGGATCAAAGCCCTCCAAGGATACCTTCCATAGCTTCACACCTCACAGTTGTACCCTTTGGACGGTTTATCGACCACAGTGATGGAAGATGTCCACTAACTTCCCTAGCTCAGAAGTTAGTAGACATACTCAACTATATTGTCACAAGTGCTGGACTTCAGCAGGACGAAAGGCACTCCAGTATATCTCCCATGGCCTTGAAAGCCATCCTTGCTCCCCCCTTCCTGTTTTATAACCCCAAGTAATCAAAGATGTCTACTAACTTCACAGGCAAGGAAGTTAGTGGACATCGTGGCTTCTTGCCAACTATGCCTCATATCCCCTACTGACAGTCCCAACACCTTCTATAGAGACTTACTTATATGTTGCTCGAGGACCTACATGTGCATACTGTACATAGTTAGCCCTTACTAACATAACCTGAAGTTAGTGGATAGGATAAGTTATTAGAGAGGACCCTTACAGCTAGGATCACCATTACCTACCTATAACCTCCCCTGACACCGGGACTGACACCCAAATTGCCCTACATACCCATACCATACTAAAATCCTCCAAATATCACTTATAAAAGATGTCTACTAACTTCCGACTCATCCATCACTAGATCAAAAGGCTTGTATCTCCTTAACTACTCAAGCTATTAATAAACGGTCTGTACATCTGGTATCAGCAGAGCATTCTGCACAACTTTCATTTTTTGATGCGCCATCAGATCGGGACGGTGGGCGGGACCATGGGCGACCCCAAGATCAGCAGCCATCAGTAACTTTGATGGCAGTGATGGGATGAGGGCGGGGGAGGGCGGGCGGAGGGCGGGACTTGACAGCAGACAGCGATGATGACCTTCGCTGTCATCGTGTCATCCGGTGATCATCCTTTGATGCTCCGGCCAGCCCGCTCCCCCAGCCCGCTCCCCCCCCCGGCCTCCCCCTTCCCCCCCAAAGACCTCCCGTCTACTAACATCCTGTCCACTAACATCCAGAAGCGAGTTTAAGGAAACACCGCAGATTTCCATTATCCCCTCTAGTTAGAGCTTCACCCCCCCCCTGAGGCTCTAACTAGAGGGGATAAGTGGGCAGGTTAGGTGCTGTTATCCCAACCCTCCAGGCTATACGGCTTGTTTTGTTTAGCCCGGGGAGCCTGAAGAATGAGGCATCCGCCGCACCGGCTGCCGGCACGTATGGACTACGGTGGGCCGTTAAAAAAACCACAGCCCCATCAGTTGGGTTTATCATTGCCGCGGTTAGTACCTTCTGCGCGTTCCGCAACCACTCAAGCTCATCTACTGTATTCGCTAGCTTATCCACGTTCTGCTCGACAAGCCCAAAGATAGTTTTGAAGAGAAGGGCACCGTCTCCGGCGTCAATTACCTCGGTGTTTTCGAGCGCCACCTCAAGCTCTGTTTTGCCACAATGGTGAACGATGGTCACCGTGACGGTAGCACCGTTGGGCCATTCATGGATGCTATAGTCTTCAAGGGTGTTTCGTTTGCTGCTGACCCCTCAACATCGCGCAACAATGCGATGGAGTCGGCCCTTGTCGCCTCCAAGGATGACGAAATCGTGGCAATGCTGATGGGCGGACTTACGGTCAACGACTCGGAGGAGCTTGAGGAGGAGACTAGAGAGCTGGCGGGAAAGACTCAAGGCTCGCAGGAGTCTGATGGGGAGGGGAATCCCCTACGAGTACAACGAGGAAATGGGCACAATCGGCTTCAGCCAACCCCTTGATTTGGATGAAGCAGACGGTGCGTGGTTTTCGACGTTGATTGAATTAGACTTGACGCTGTTGATTCAGACGCAATCATTGTAGGCGATGCTCAAAATCATGGTGTCGTACCAGTGCCTGCTACCATCGTTGATGTCGAGGAGCTTGAAAACGTATTGGATGGCCATCCACCGATCGTGGCCTCACGCAGACCAGCAACGACCAAGGTAGCCCCCAAGCCCAAACCCAAGCCCAAACCCAAACTCAAGGGTAAGGGCAAAGCCAGCCAAAAAGATCTAAATCAACCAACCGCTGGGGCTGGTCTTGCAAGTGGTGTACCTGAGCCTGTACGCTTTGCCAGTGGGCCAGACTCCGAGGCAGCTGATCTTGCCGCCGGCACCGGCCCGGGGGCACCCGCTGGGCGTGGTCGAGCACGTGGTCGAGGACGCGGTGGAGGACGCGGTGGAGGACGCGGCGGAGGACGTGGTGGAGCAGTCGCAGATGCGCCTCAGGTTGTGAGCCAACACATTGCTGAAGATGATTCGGAGCCTGTGAATATCCAGCCTGCCAAACGACGCAGCCAGCGTGGAAATGTGGACACCGTGAATCAACGTGGTCAACGTGCGATGTCAACGGTGGTCGGAAATGAGCATGCAGCGGCTCCGCCTTCTGCGGGCCGTCGTCGTCAAGTTGTTCTCGACGTTGCTGATTCGGATTCAGACTCCTCCCCCCTCTCTGAGCTGGCGTCTGCTGGTCATGCGTCAGATTCTTAATAGGGTCAGTACTTCCAAATCTCTAAGCGTCGTCGTATTCGAAATGTCCGTAGCAACCATCCAAGTCGTCATATCCTTAGTTAGCGCGTTGTAGCCGAAAAAAAAACATACATTCTTGTCTTTCATTGGACTGACTGAGTTGTGTATTGATATGTTTTTCCCTTTTGTCAGGTCAGATGCTTGTAATAAAAACCCATTTCAATTTAATTGTCAATGGCTATTGAGGGGGGGGGGATCATATCATAGCCATCATATTACACCTTTTGTTATGGAAGTTTAGTTTAATGGTTATTTTGTACTTTACGCGCGTAGCAGCCACCGGTTCAAACCCCCTTGTAAGCATTTAGTTAATTCATTGTAAAATTGTAACTCCTTGACTGACCACGCCTGACCATGTTAACTTAACCTTTAAGTAATAACTGAAACTGAACAAGCTAATTGACCATGTAGTAAATAATCTAATACAAGTGATCATGTAGTAAGTAATCTAATACTAGCGTACCAGTAAAGTTACTGAGGATTAAATAAATGGCTTCAGTCCGAAAAGAAAGATCAAGAGCTGTCCGGCCTTATCTCGTTTAGATCACGCTCTTCTTATCTGATCAGCCCTGTTCATCTGACTCAGTGACTGCCAACTGGCCAGGCCAAAGTTTCTGATAAGATATCGGTGAGCTGGTCAGGACGCCGACAATGGCCAGAGCCCGAAACCGGGCCAGACCCCGAAACCGGACCAGAGACCCCGAAACCGGACCAGAGAGCCCGAAACCGGGCCAGAAGCTTTGATCTGGCCGGAGCCTGACCAAGGCCGAAGCGCCTGACAGCCTGGTCACGCCTGATCAAGCCTGTTAAGGAAAAAAAAAAATTTCCGACATACCTTCAAAACTCGTCATAGTGCTGGAACGGAAGGTAAGACATCTCAGAAGAGAAGGGTCTGCGTCCAGTCTCGCCAAGTCCGCTTCTCACCGACCGCCGGCAATGGCATAGCTCGCCGGGCCAGTAAGCGTGGGCGGAAGCACCGGGACCCTGTGTAGATTGAAAGATATATTCGCATTGGGGTGAAAGAAAGAGAGAAAGTACAGATACAGGGATATAGGACAGCGGGGGTAGGGATACAAAGATACAGCAACGCCGATGAGAACGGGGTAAGGTCCGCAGGCGTACAATGATATACAATTAGAATGGGAGCGTGAACGAAAACCGGGAAATGAACGCAGAGGTCATTTGACCGTCCAGCTCATGCCCGGGCGGAGATGATGTCAGGAATGACTCGAAATATCAGGGCGTTTGACAGCGGGCCCGGGGACCTCACTAGAACGCGATTCGTTAGACCGGATTAGTGCTGGCCAAATATGATTATATTATTTTATGGGCATAATATATTATAATCATATCATATTCAGAGCTCCAACCCAATAATATATTTGTAGTATAATATAATCATATTCAGCTGCAAAAATATGAATATGTTATGAATATATTCAACTATAATCTAGTATGCATATCTCTTGATATGTTTGACATATTTGCTGCTAGAAAAAAGAATCAAAAACATAAAATACATACTGGATTGTAGGGCAACTTCCTTTTGGGCCTCTCTAATTCCAGCCTGGGTTACATAGGACTCTCAAAATACATTCAGGGGCATTGCCACGAGTATTAGGTTAGCCAGTAGCCACTTGATCAGAGGTCCTGCACTATGTTTAATAGGGTCAACCCAAAGTGATCACTCCTGACCCCTGTTCCTACTAAGAGTAATGTATGAATCACCATATATAACAGATAATAGAGAGTTTGTGCAGAGCCACCAGAGGCCACCTGGTGACATTTTCACTGTGTGCTGCCATGTGGCTCTGGTGGCTGTGGTGGCTCTGACAAGTCTTACATTATATTCCATCTTGCCTGCTATAGCTATGAAGTAACTCATACTACTGTCCTTTTGTTGGCTTACAGACTCTATCAATAGCATGTAAGGTGGAGTGGGGGTTATAATACCTTCTGTACGTTTCTGTGAGCATATCTGGATTACTGTTGATAGTTAGTAGAAGAGAATGATGTGATCTAAGCCACCAGAGCCACCAGGCAGCACACAGCCAAAATGCCACCAGGTGGCCTCTGGTGGCTCTGCACAAACAGGCTAATATATGACATTTATCAGAAGTAGGGCTAACTTAGACTAAGATTAGTACTATGACTAAGTACATGGACTGAGAAAATAGCTGTAATCATCCACCTTACTATAGTTGAATATTCTGTGACTATAATATAGCATAGTCATAATATAATATAATATATTCAAACATAATCATATTCAAGTGATCCACGAAGGGCATAATATATTCATAATATTCTGAATATATTCAATATTTAATCAAGCATAATATAATTCTGGCCAGCACTAGACCGGATGGGAGGAAGATAACCTGCTGCGACTGTGGCTCACCATGAAGTCGCTCCAGGCAGGCTCTTCATCCTCGCCCCGCCCGACCGGCGCCTCGAAGAGGTCTGTCCGACGCTTAACCCTGGGCGGGGCGTCGATCGTGAACTGTACAGCGCGTGACGCAGATGGCGGTGGAGTATCGACCGTGGCGGCCAGAGCTGACTGCGGGCGGGTGATACTAGCGGGCAGCGGCGATGGCGACCTTGAATAGCGCGGGACGTCAACATCAGGTAGCACAAGCGAATTGTGCTTCCGGTGCGTCTTTTTAACGACTGTGTTGGGCGGACCTGGCAGCGGCGAGGGGCTGCGCAGTCCGGCGAGGCATTTCAAGGTGTTAGGCTCATCAGCATAGGCTGCACAGTATGGTTGAGTTGAGTTGACTGAAGACAGAATCTGAGACAAGTCTCACCGAGGTACCCGTTGTCGCTGCCCACGATGACATCGACCTCTTCCTCCTCTTCGTCATCGCTCTCATGCTCCTCGGCCCCGGTATCCACGTTTGCGCGGCGCTTGCCCTTGCCCCGGGCCCGGTTGCGCACGCTCTCGAGGAACGGCATGGGAATGAGCAGCATCGTGGACACGCCACGCTGTAAATAACACACATGTTAGACCACGCAGATTGGGCGAGATAACAGACAGCCACGCACCATCGCCAGGTCCATAGCCTTTGACGGCCGCTCGTCGTCTTGCTCCCGGCTGTTTTTCCGCGCGGGAGGCGACTGCGGGCGCTTCGGTTGCGCAGACGAGTTCGAGGAGAATGTCCAGGCGGAGGGCGAGGGACTTTCTCCTCTCCCCTGCACCCGCTGGAGCGGGACCCCCACGCGCGAGTATGGGTCGGGCTGCTTCGCCGACTTGTGGAACGGTCCCCGGAAAGTAGAGGTGCTGGGCAAGTTGGTCATGTTTTGGTTCGGGGAGTTGTATTTGGGCAGTCTCAGCGGTCGGGTGGTGGGGTGGGGTAAGAGGAAGAAGACGGCAGGCACACGACCTGTCAGACTATATACTCGGCGACGAGTGATCGGTGAGGACGAGGCTATGTCCAATTACACGCGATGACAGCATCCGCCAAGCCCTATTTCATCCCCGCCCTCTTGGCCTTCCGGCAGCGCGCGCACAGGGCAGCTCCTTCGGGACTAGCTCACCATCGGGCAGGCACCCAGTGCTAGTCCAGCGTGCAGCCTGCAATCTGCATCGAGGCTTGCAGGAGAGCGTATCGTCCCAAGTTGTTTAGGGGTTGCCTCGGAAATCAATCCGTGACGCCGATCGGCGCGCACTGCCTGCGGGATCTTCCCCGCCTTTGCCCTTCCTGGCCTAGTCGTGTCTCGGCTTGTTTCGGGGTAACAAACCGCTCAGGGGTGCGTGGGGCGGTGGACAACGGCGTCTGAGTCACAACTGTCTTGGCCTGACTGCAGTGAAGAGAGTTTGGGGAGGAGAGACACTACAGACTCGGAGTGAGAGGCAAGTTGGGTTAGCCTGCGTGTATTTCGCCGCGGCTTCCAATTTGCCAGCCGCCAGCCAGTCAACTACCTGCTGATCCAATCCAAGTGGCTTGTCTCCACTATCTCTTCACCTGCACCATGACCTGCTGGTGCGCGAATATAGCCAGTGCGGGATTTGTGCCGCGGATATAGCAAGTCCCATCAGCATCAGCAGTGGCGCGATAACAGAACACGGGCGCGATATGCGCTCTGTGGCGATATGCAAATAGTGGGTTGCCAAGCGCTTCGAACGTCGCGTAGGCTTCGGGCGTGGGTTGTGTGAGTCGGCGATCTGTTGTTCTTTGGATCAAGGAAGCCTGGAAGCTTAGGAAGTAAGAGAGATGAATGAATGAAGGAGAAAAAAATTGAAAGCTACATGCATATGAAGAAGCGACAGGCTAAGTTCTATGCCCGCACTTGCTCCACAGGCACGCCGACAAGCGCCGCGTGTCCAGCGACAGCCCGAGCTCTCTCGCGGTCGTGTTTTCGCCTTGGTTTTCGCGCCGTTTTGCGTGCCACGTCAGCGTCCTCCGCAAACTGCGAGCAGGCACGTAATAACGGGTCATGATCTCATCAGCATCGGACCGGATCACCTCGGGGCACCGCCACGCGCTTCCTTGCCCAGAACGCCCATGTCGACGCCGCACTCGAAGACAAACTCGATGAAGAGCGCGCCCGCGATGCCGACGGCGCAGGCGGTGCGCCTACGCGTTATGGCCCTCACTCTCCCCATAATGCTCGTCACCGGATGTGCGTCTGCGTCTGCGTTTACTTATATCGTTTTTGTTTCCTTCACGGCTTGCTCAAACTGGCTTGCAATTGTGGGATGATGACCGAGGCTGATGAAGGCTTCAGATACAATCGTGAACCGGATGAACAGCAACTCGGAGGACGCGGAAAAAGGCCGCCACGCGCGTGAAGCCGGAAAACAGGGAGAGGCGGAGGAACGTAGTGGGCGGCAGTAAGGTCTAGCGGCGAGTGATGACTTGAATGTGGTTTCGTTTGATGACGAACAACATAGGCGTCATCCTGCACCGATCTGGGGATACTTATGTGGTGTTCTTACCTCCAGCGCCGCCGCCAGATACGTTCTTAGCTCCCCATCTCGCTGCTCCCCATCTCGCTGCCACCCACAAGCCCATCCTTTTGCGTGTCACGGACGACCGTTACCGTCCCAATTACATCCGATTCTCCCCTTTACATATCTGGTATCACAATCTGCACCAAAAAGAATCACGTCAGACTTCGATGGATCCCTCCGCGCATTGTCCTGCGTGATCAAGGCGCGACCGGCCCACGGCCGCGTATATAAGCCGTCTACGGTCACTCGTGACACCCCACATTGATTTGAACGCTAGCCATGGCTTTCCTCGGACGCTACGCCGGCAGTCGCATCCCCGTCCTCCGCCCGCCACCGTTGCCACCCAGTGGCCAGACGATGCCCGTCGATCCCAACGACCTGCCCGTCGATTTTAACCGCCTGCGACTCGAGGACACCGACAACGACGAGCGCCTGCCCTCGCGAGTGCCCGTGGCACGCTTACTACCCACGCCGATTGGACACGAGCGGGCGGTGGCAAGAGCCTCGCCGAACCCTGCGGCGCAACGCGGTACACATGCCATTGGCGCGATGATGGAAACACCACCGTACCAACCGCTGCCACGGGAATGGGAGGATACGCCACCTACCCACGCAGCGGCAGTGGCTAGAGCGCAAGCCCCGCGCTACATGCCCACTTATGCCACTCTCCCGACAGAGACCCCGCCTTACCGGTTGGCCTCCCATGGGTGGGAGGACACACTGGGCGCACAAATGTCGCAACTGTCCCTTCGAGGAGGCACCAGAGGGCGAAAGATTCGAACGAAACCTAACGAACCAGCGCTCACACTGCAGCAACGGCTGGAGCAGGCGGCGCTCGCGCTCGTCGAGTCGGACGAGGAGGAGGTGCAAGAAGACGACGCTGAAGTATCGCCCCAGCCCAGCCCAGCCCCGCTCTTGGAGCAGGCGCCGCTCCCCGCCGTCGAGGAGGAAAGCGTAGAGCCTGAGGAGCCCGAGATGTCCATGGACGAGTTCTTCCGTGAGGCGCTCCAGATTCTGGAGGAGCACTATCAAGCGGAACTGTGAGTCCAAGTACTTGGTCTATTGTTCGTTGTGCTAACATGCGCGCACCAGCCTCAAGCCCAGCACTATCAATACCAGTCCCAACACCAACACTGGAAAAGAAAACACCCCCGCCCGACCCGCGTGGTGGGTGCCAGACAGCGACATCGTCCGCGCGTATGCGTCGCAGAACGACTACTCCACGAGCCCAATGCGGCCGCGCTACCCTCTGTGCGTGTGCCTTTTTTTATTCTTTGATTTGCGCATTTACCTCGATGGGCAGGGACAACACGTACCAGCCGAACCCCGAGTCGGTGCTCGCGCCGGTCAACTGGCTCGAGCCGGAGCGTGGCGACCCATACGGCGGGTTTTATACCCAGAATCATGAGGCGGAAATGCGCCGGTGGCCGCAGTAGTGAGCCTGGCCCAGGCCAATTTCTTGGCTTGGAGGCCCACATTGTTTGTAGTTTGAATTTGAATGGTCAGTGTACCACAGTGTACCAATGTCTGTTGGGACACAACATTATGTTTAGAGTGGCGTGGGGCCGCTGCGCCACCGGTGACTTGAGTTGTGTGCGTAAAACAGCAACACTGGATATACCCTGTGTGGTTGATACAACGGAAGGCGCTAGCTTTTAGCATCGTGTTTAGGTCTTCACACCATGCAGGTTCCAACAGATACTAGCGGGATCCTGTTTGCCTTGTCCAGAAATAAGACAAGCGCTCAAAATCCTGTGGCGCCGTGCAACCATCATCAATGGGAAGCGAGCGTTGGTCCGGTTTCATGGGATGCCGGGAATCTCCTGGTGTTTAGCTGTTCCGCCCCGCCCTGGGAAATCCCAGCTACTGCGGGTGTGGTAGAGTGGGAGGGACTCCTGAGGGAGCCTCAGGGTCCAGGGAGCAAATCTGGCAGAAACAAGCAAGTCCAATATGGGCTCCAGCAGGGAAATTATCTAACTTGGCCATATTCTGACCTAATTCGCAGCCGATCGATCTGAACTAAGATTGCCTTCTTCTCGAACATGATGCCTTTATTCGGATATAAATATCATCACGCAATATGCCATCTTCTGATCATATCCAGCTAGCATAAGTACCAGGGCGCTCGGGGCTTGACTTTGCTCTTGCCCCTCCTGCATCCATAAGCCATGTCTCCAGGGATGGCCAATGATCCAACAGTTGATCAGCTGATAACCTCTGAACTCATGGGTGCGGGTGTAAGTTCAAGTTGTAACTTCCTTCCCAAAATGCAACTCATGCCAGCAATGATAGATTTCTCTGCTACTTTATGGTATGTTCAACTTTCAACCTTTCAGTCTTGAATCTCACTCAATATGAGTAGGTATCTATTTTGTTCTGTTCATTCTTGCCATTGCCTCCTACAGCCATCGCATATATGACAACTTTCTCTTCTGCTTGACCTTATCTACATTTCCACTAGGCACCGCCCAAGCAATTATAGCAGTTTCCTCTGTTGCAGTCACCTTGAAACTGGTCCCTTTTCCAACAGGATCGATTTTACATATTGATCAATATTCGGTGTTGACACGGCTATCACAAGCCCAGCAGTTATTATTAACTGTGAACAAGTATGTTTCTAATATTTAATCTGCCAAGACAATCCATACCTGAAAATTTCAAAGCTTGATTACAGATATTATTTTTGTATGTCAAGTTGGTTTAATAACGCTTTCTATATCTAATCCAAGATACTTCTAGTGCTATCGATGTTTCAAACTATGGAATGGGTTCCATTTCCTCCTTGTTCTTCCTATTGTGTTCATGATTTCCACCTTTGGTACCTTCAGCTTCTTCCAGGTGTTGTAACTGACACTCTTCCCATTTTGAATAGTTGTTGCACTCTCTTCTTGGGATTGATAAATTTGAATCTGTGCCCTTTGTATTGGGAATGATAACCAATCTTTTACTGTCATTATTAACTGGTTAGCTCCTTCTATTCCCTATAATACTCTAATGCTTGAACTGAAACACCATCAGGTTGGCAAATATGGTGGATCCAGTCTAAGAACAAATCACTTCTCCAGAATGAAGCAAGGCTACCTGCGGAGAGATTTTGGAGGATTTCATCCACACAAAAACAATGCACCCTTGCATTAGAGATTATGTATGGTCAATCTCTCTCATATCAATTCTACTGACTAGATGTCAAAGTATACAATCTGGTGCAATATATACCATCTCAGCACTTGCAATGGTGATTTCCATTCATAATGATGGACGATGGTCAGTTAGCCGTGCACTTATTATGGGAGTGGTTCAACATATTGTGGTGAGTTGTCTATTTTAATTTGTTTTGTAATTTGACCTTAGTATAACAGAACATTTGTCCAATGTGGGTGGCTGCACATATGGGAACATCATTTCACCCCTGAGTGGTATCAAGCAATGCATGATAGGGTCACTGTGGTTAAATTTCACTTTTTGGACTTGTGTCCAGGGACATTCAGGAGGACTGCTTGTTTTATGTTTGTAGTACTGGAGTATTTTATTCAATTTGGTGTTGAAATTCCAAGGTTATCACAGGATTGATGGGATCAAAGTGAGCAAGAGTTTATAATCATGAACCGGTGAGGTTCAATGCAAACAATGCCCAATGCTGGGATCTGGGATCATTTCAGCTTATATACTACAGGCTAATTGTACTTAGTACTAGTATATTCCATGGTATATTCTACAGTTTTCTAATTAGTGATAATTAGTAAACACACAGGAAGGCTCTGGAATATTCGCAGACACAGGGAAAATTCTTTTCCCATTAAAAGATGAATTTAATGTAAACATTTTAATTCTTCTTTCTATAGGGAAGAAAGATCATATATCTGAATTAGCATAAATAGTTGCTTTTCAAAGATATTTCCCTTGTATGGAAAGGACCTGTTTCAGGAAAAACTGAAATGTCAATTGAAAGTTCATCTTTTCAATACAGATTTGTATACCTATTTCTTTGTCGCAGAAAGGGAATATTTTTATTTTTTTCACAAAGAAGCTATTTATATTCATGTTTTCATGTCAATGAAAATAACATCTTTATATCTTTTGCAGAAAGGACATCATTTGTTTCCCCTTTCATACAAGAACAAAGAGCATCTTTCTGAAAAAGTCAGAAAGATGATGTTTCCTTACCCCTTTCATGCAATCAAAAAGCACACCTTTCTCTTTGTCTTGAAAGATGTTCTTTCTATCTGCTAACAAAGGTGCATATAAAGAAGACCTTTCTAAAAATGACAGAAATATCATCTTTTATACCACAAATAAAGAGGAATATAAACCACATATTTTTGAAATGAGTGAAAATATATTCTTTATAGTACACAGAAAGGGGTATTCAAAGCCATATGAAAAGGTTAGCTTTTCAACAACTTTTCCATCCCTGTGAAAGACATTCTTTTTGTTCTTACAGAAAGCTTGATAAAGAAGAGTCATTTATGAAATAATTAATATATCATATTTCTTGGTTGACAAAACATGTATCTAAATATGTACATTCAATACATGTTTAAAAGGGAAAAGAAATTTTTGAATTTCCCATGTGAGACTTGCTGCAAAGCGCAGCAAGTCATACTCGTGACCCATCAATCTTCAGCTAATTTTCTTTTGGCAGTTATACTCCACAGCGCAGACACCAAATTCCCTCAGCTGATCTACCATTTTTGGTTGGTGCCCAGACATCAAAAAGTTTCATTTTGGCGCTGATGTCATATCCATTTTGGGTGCCGAATTGAATAAAATGCTCCAGTACTTGTTGTGAATAAATAGGTGTGTGTGATGGCTGATTTCCTAATCCGGACACTTTAGTGATAAGTGTGATTCCAAACCATGACACATGGCATGTTATCACATCTTCTTGCTGGTTGTTAGGGGATGACCCAGATGAGGGGTGCCTAGTTGATACCAAAGTCAGGGGGAACCGGTGTGTACTTAAGTAGTTGGCTGTGTGTACTTAAGTAGTTGGCTGTGTGTACTTAAGTAGTTGGCTGTACTTAAGTAGTTGGCTGTAGGCTACAGCCAACTACTTAAGTACACACACCAACAAAGGCATAATAGAATCTTCAATCAGCTAGCACCAAAACACACATAGAAATGGCAGATCAAACCAGAGCCAACCTGATTGGTATGGTTATTCCGGCCCACTCAGCCGCTCCAATCAGGTTCATTATGATTTGATCTGAAAGATCTGTGCGCATTTCAGTGCAAGCTAATATTTTACGTTTTTCAGTGTGACAGAGCTACCTGCATGGACCAGTTGTGTGATTAGTCATAGCCATCACATCACATGCCCCCTTTACACTGGTGGGAGCACAGAAAATTTCCCTTTTGGGAGGTCATGTGGCTTTGTTATGCTTACATCAATAGGGTCCACTAGCGCTTAATTCCCTTTTCAACCTGATGTCTTTGTGCTGTACTAGAGTATTTTCTTTAATTTGTATATCAAATGTCACACTGCCCTAATCATAGAAATTTTTCAGATGTCCCAGCAGTTGGGCCAAATTCTGGACTTGGGAGTGTTAGCGTTTGGCGGCTTGGTGTGCAACGAGGCATGCGGCTGATGCTGATGGGACAGATTGCGGCCGGTATGGCTGGCGGTTGTCAGGCTAGAAGATGGGGCGGTAACGGGTAACGGTCTTTACGGTTTGCCTCTGTACTTTGTGCAGAGGACAAACTACGACTATCTACGGGTCTGCTCTCGCGTAAGCCAGCAAGGAAACGGGGTATCTTTAACAGAGAGGGTGTTAAGTGCCATGTCGACTAAAGGGCCGGAGTCGAAAGTCAGAGTCGAAAGCGGAATCGAAGTCAGAGAGCACTTGGGGCGGAACACCACAGAAGAATGTTTGGGTGACCAGTGATGAGGGTGGATGACAGGTGGGAGGCCAAAGATGAGACTGACACTACAACTAAAACCCAAAAACAAAACGACTAACTGGAAACCTGGAGGCCACCCAGGAAACACTGAGGGAATCAGACAGCCAAGTCAATGGAACTGTGCTGTATTCTGCAAGGATCAAGTACAGGGGAGAGAGAGTAACTACTGTGACTGGATGATGTAAACTATGTCTAGCAGGTTTACACCCTCCCCATCTTTAAAACATTGTATCATAACCAGAGAGGAAAAGAGAGAAGTACCAACAATTGCCCATCAATCCCAATGACAACTTTGACCATACTCGATAATGTGCATCCTCAAACACCCATCCACAAGTCGGTTCGCCATTGCGTCAGGGAATGAGAGGGGACGGGGGGCCAGAAGGAAGAACGAGATTAAAGGTGGATAAGGTAGAGAGACATAGGTCGGAAGGAATGAGCCAACCATCAGCGATACGCAAGGTCCGAGTCGTCTGTCCCAACATCACTCGGGCTGTCGTAGTCGTCCCACAACCCATTATCATCGTCAGACTCCAGGTGCGGAAGGACCGCAAAGACACTGTGGCGAGCAGGAATGCCGTTGGCAGGGTCTCCTGGGCAGTTGTGCGACTGATGGTTGACCCAGCCCGGGCTGGCAGGAGAGCGACGACAACGATAGCACCCCCCAGCTGCCTTCAGTGCATCCTTCTCCGCAGGCGTCAATCTTGGAGGCAGTGTAGAAGCGGTGGTGGAAACGGCGGTCGAGGTAGTGGATGCAGCTGGGGTGGTCGTAGCAGTTGCTGCTGCTGGGGTTGCCATGGGAGGGTCGGAAACTTTCACACTGCCCTCCTTCACCATGATCTGCCAGAGCACCGTCATTTCCGCAACAAGTTGTTCGACCGTCATCGAAGCGAATTGAAAATTCGGCGAACCACACGTACGGAGCCGGAGTGTCGGGTGAGAGTAGAACAGAAGGTGCTTTTTGAAGACGGCGCTGTCGATTGTGTAAGCCGGTCCGGCATTTGCGAGCGCATCAGAAGCAGCCTCGAGCCGCTCAACGAAGGTGGAGAACGAGTTGCGACCTTGCTGTATGTCGTAGAAGGTCCCGAGCGCGAAAATGCGCCAGTTACTCTGCACGAATCGGTCTCTAAGCTTGGTCTTGAAGCTGGCCCAAGTCGACAGTTTGAGCGAGTCGCGGTTATTAGCCCACCAGACTTTCGCCGATTTGTCCTCCATTCGCATGCCCGCCATTCGCACCTTTGTGCGGTCACTGAGCTCCTCGCTATTCATGTCTTCATGGTGCTCAAACACATCCTCACACGCCCCCAACCAAAGCTCTATCGATTGAGCATCAGGTTTATCGACGAGCTTGGGGCATTCGAGTTTTGTCATCGGGCGGCGTTGGCGAGAGGAACGATGGGGACGAGCGGGGGAGACAGAGCGAGTTGGTGAAGCGCGGTTATGGCGGGGAGACGAGCGGGAGTGGGAATGAAGAGGGGGACGTGTTGGCGAGCGAGACAGTGAGCGAGGATGAGAATATTGAGGGGAGGGCGGGTTTGAAGGCGATCCTGAGCGAGAACGGGGCCGAGCGAGCGATGCCGAGCGTGAACGAGAGCGCGGGTGCGTCTCCAAGACGTTGGACAGATGAGGAGGCCCGTCACGAGCAGGCTGGAAGCGCGAGAGAGGTGGGCGGCGTGTGGACGACACGCTGGGCGACAATGCGTGTACCACGTTAAGTCGGTCGAAAAGAGAGGCAGGGTTGGCAGCGCGAGACGACGAGACCGCAGGAGAGGCGAGTGGAGGGTGTGGGGAGTCGGGCTGGGGCAAGCGAGACGCGTCTGGCGAAGGCTCGTGGTCGTGGAGCCAAGCAGAAGATGCCAGCGTAGCACTTCCCACGAACTCGTGCTCAACGGAGCTAAGCGGCTCGGCCGACGGTGTCCGACGTCGGCGAGAAGATTCAAGTGGAGGAATGAGCGGCGCGGAGCTGTTCCGGGTGTGTCGAGGCCGTGCTTGATGTTGGCCAGATGCCATAGAGGAAGAAGTAGAGAGGTAGCGCAGTTGTAATTGAAAAAAAAGTGGAAACCTGGAGGCCACCCAGGAAACACTGAGGGAATCAGACAGCCAAGTCAATGGAACTGTGCTGTATTCTGCAAGGATCAAGTACAGGGGAGAGAGAGTAACTACTGTGACTGGATGATGTAAACTATGTCTAGCAGGTTTACACTAACAACCATTCTGCTAGAGCTATAACTGTGCAACACAACTCCAATAACCACCAATAACCGTCTCCTAATACGAGTGCAGAACCCTGGGAACAGAGCCTGTACACGGATGTGCAAGGTTGTAGGGTAGATCGAATGAAATCCTGATAAAGATTTGTTTTGTGGTTGTTCTCAAGCATACTATCGACGAAATCCCGCAATAGGAAAGCGCCAATACGATGCCCAGAACCGTTTATACTCATTTGGATCAGGAACTAACTGCCTTGAACCCAAGGAGTTGTCTCAAGTCAAGACTAACTGCCTTAAATTCTTGACCGCCAACCGAAAACCAAGTGTACGCCAACCGAAACTCTTTTATATGGCAACCGGAACCCTTAACTCTTCAATCACAACGCCTTTTTACTTGAATGAAGGAGCTAGCAAGATGATATTGACAAGCTAGATCCCCTGATGCACCTAGTAACGCGGGGCAATCCGTGAATTGCTCAAATACAGGACAGAGATATAAATACTAAAACAGAAAATGTTAAGATCAGGTAAATCGCCATAACAGAATGATGGTCCATGTGCATAATTTGTAAGGTATCGTTTCGCCATAAGGCCCAGAGTCGAAAATCCAGGTCTAGATGACCAGTAGCGCGTGTTTGGTGTCAGTGACCTTTGTAAATCCTCCTTTCTTGCGACCGTCTATGCATTTTTGTGAACGGTCCGCTAACCATTGTTGTTATCGTTGTGTAGTTCCGCCTCCTAGCTTTCCAGCGATACCCATAACTTGAAGGCTAACTGCTAGACACTGCTGGGCAACTTTTTTAACAAGATAATCACAATCTGTTGTTGAGTTATTCGGTTGGACGGCTGCGGTTTAAGGTCGCTGTGATCTGCAGCCAAGCCCTCTTTTCCACTGAGTCATGTTTTTTGTTTAACCGCACTTCCACATGCCCTCGTCCTTGCGTAAGCTCTGAAACCGTGTTCCAATACTGTCAGGGATTGATCCGTTTGAAGCCTGGTTGAGCCTTCATTGGAGTGTTCTGAGTTTGAGTCCCAACACATACCAGACCAAATATGCCTTTTAGTTTACACTCCCTTTTGGTATATATAAAGGATTGGATGGGTCCTCTATGTTTGTTTGGGCTCTGCTGTTGTTTTGGTTGTTGGAAGAGTCATTCTAAATGGCCAGTTGCTATCAACAACGGTCGAGTCGAAACACCTCCTCGCAGATATCTCCCTAACTGGCCATTCGGGACTCATGCCAGTTCTTAGACGTGTGCTGTACCCATGAAAGGAACAAAAACAGTGGTTTTATATGTGTGTTCCAAAATGCGGCTTATCACCGGGGCTTCCAGTTGACCAAGACAAGAACAAGAGGAGAAGAACGGACTTGAGACGACACTGGGAGATAGAGACCAGCAACGTTAATATACATCGAAGTATTTATAGTACGAGAAGTAATGGAAACGGAATAGGGTATAACAAAGTAAGTAACAAGATTAGAACAAAATCAAGTAAAGTAAACGAGGAGTTGCATACGAGGAACAAGGCATAGATGATTGCATAGATCAAAGGTCGGGGTAATTGGAAACGCTCAGTAAATCTTCATTGCGTAAAAACCAAATACCGGAATCAAGTATTGGAATCGAATGCCGGAGTCGGCATGGATATAACAGAGGGACTGACTTTACCTAGCATGGGAAGATCCAAAGAGAAAAAACTCTAAGGGTCTGCCTGCTACAGTACCAACTATATACTGGTCATCTGTAGCTGTTGTTGTTGGGCACAGAAGGCCTGGGCAGTGTGGCAGGCCTTATCCAAAGGCAACCGTTGGGAGGGTCTTGACAGTGATGGGAGGGCCGGGTCGGAGTGAACTGGATATGCTTCAGATGTGTTCAGACAGTCTAAAGGAGGGGAAAGTGGAGGTTCCCCTCACAGTCGTCCGGGTCCAATGAGTCATTGATACCTCCTTCCATGAAGAGAAGTGGTACTTTAAATGATCTAAGCAATAGTCTTATAGTAATACAGTATAGAGGGTAACCCTGCCTGGTAATACTTAGACATAGCAAAAATTCATTTATTTCATACTCTCAGCTATGGAATTCGTAAATTCTAGGGTATGTGGCCTGCTAGGTGGTTGGGCTATCATTCTGCTGAGATTCATCTCCCTGCTCTTGGGTTCTGTTGCCCTTCCAAGTGCAATTCTGACATTTATCAGTGCATTGCTGGCACCTAGCACAGTGGGCTGGGAGAATGAGAAGGGAAATTGGAGGTTTAAATTAAGCCAATGTAGGATCGCAAATAGTAATGTGAAGGCTCTGCAGCATCAGAGATTTACAAAAGTTTCTATAGTTATTTAGAAAGACTCACGTGTATAGGACAGAGCTTTCCACCAATATAATAGCAAAATACTATAAGGATATTAGTTTGAGAGCTCCGCAGAATATCTTGATTGAAACTTACAGACAAGCTCCTCTCATCAACAATATGATCACCGGCTGCTGAGCCGACTGTATACATTCTATAAGAAATCAAAGCTGGAAATATTGGTTTATCAAAATAAATAATATGAAACTTCTGCTAACACACCAGTACAGTAGACAGGTGTACTGGACACAAGGTTGTCAGCATAGTTTCCCAGCTAGAAAAAATGACCTACACCACTGAGAACACAGGAAAAATGATTGAAAATGCTTGTATGATACCCAGATCATAAGACCCCACATTTCTTGAAGTGCTCTGGATTTTGGTAACATTGACAATGGTGGCAATAAGAGAGACTGAAAATGCTAAGCAAACTATTATTTATCTTGGAAGATAACCCACTCAACAATCCCACAAATGACAAAACAGCCAATGAGAGGATTTTCCTGTTCGGCCAGACCACCGACAGGCGGTATATCTGTGCGGGCCAAATCATGAGTCATATTTCTGTGTGTGAAGATGGAACACAGACAATCATTGCATCTCCAATGGCAAGTGATAATGCAATTGCGGTATTCTTGACAATCCCAGAGGTCCTCGAAAAACGGTGGAAGTAACCATCAGCATTCAGCCCATCGTGGTACAACACAAAGGCCTGGAAGCTATCATAAACGGTCACAGTCCAGGTCTGGAAACAGGTTCAGAAAACCAAGTGTGTCGGCCAGAGATGACGGGACGCACAGTTGTGATGCCCAGCCAGAGAACGAGACTAGAAACAAATATTGGAGACTTGAGCGCCATGACGGTGCGGCTAGCGCGACTCCCCCAGGATGCGGTCCCGTGTCGTGGGCTGGGCACCTGACGGCTGTGGACAAAGAGGTAGGTGGAAACGAGGAAGAGCAGGATGTAGATCCCATAGAGGACGCTTCCCAGCGCGAGATTGAGCAGCATGGCGAACAGGACTGAGACGTTGCGCAGGGCCATGGCGGGAAGGAGCAAGGGAGGGCGGCGATCGAGAAACCGGTCGAGGAAGAAGATCGTCCCTCATTGGTCGTCGCGTCATGGGGACAGATCATGAGAAGAAGAATTGTTTCGGGGGAAGGCACATATCAATGGTACCGCGGACATCAATTCATTCACGCCTCAAATGCATCAGCACAGTCCTGAGATCCTATATAAAAAAATGATTCAGAGCTCTCCTACATCACGCCAGCTCTGAGGCTTCACATGCCTTTCCCACCTGTGTTTATTGAATTCGATATCGAATCAAGAATTGAAAGGCTTACCAGAAATCTCTTTTCGCATCTCGATCAGGTTCCGTCGCTTGCTCGCCATCGACATATGCCAGGAACTCGGCGACAGCCCGAGCGAGGTCGTATTGCCGTCCAGCAGCATACTCCACCTCGCGGGGCGGTACAACACGGACCGCGCTGGCCGCACCAGGGAAGGCCGCCGCCAGCTCAGCCGCGAAGTCCGCGCTGTAGAGCTCCATGTATTCCACATGTGGTGTCCCACAGCCTAAGTCGTCCGATGACTCCCAGAGCAGCGGACTGAAATCGGGCTCGATGTCGATTCTTGCCGGGATACGCGGGCTCGGTGTCGGCACCTTCCGCGAGGGTGTATAGTAACGTGGTCCCAACAGCTCCCGCGGGAGACACCGGCGCGCATACGCGCCAGAAAGCCGCAGGTTATCCAGTCTAGGCGTCGTTTCCTGGGGGATGACGGGGAGTGTGCGGATATTGGGATCGGTAGTGATGGTGTGGAGGTGGGTCAACTCGGGAAACCGCGCGGTCAGGGCTGGGCTCGATGTGTTGAAGAGGTCAGACGCCCGTCCCAGCCCATGATCGCGCAGAGTAAGATGTGTCAACACGGGATATGCCCCAGCGTCGACCATCGCGGCGACACGCGGGTCAATGTAGCCCTCCTCCTCCTCCTCCACAATCTCCTGGTTTTCTGGATTGCGGCTGTATGTCACAAAGGCCAGCGTCCGGAGTGTTGTGACCGCGCTCTGGAGTATATGCCCCATAAGCGTGCCCATCTCGCGGATAGTCCGCCTCGTCACGTCGTCCATCAGTATGTGGTTCGCCCGGACCTCTGCTTGGCGCGTGCGGTCGGCGTCAGTGAGGTCGACCCACGGCCCGCGGTACCAGATGTAGCCGAAGTCACGGTCAAGGTCGTCTTGCGAGGCGTCGGAAAGCAGCAGATGGCGGACCGGGGCGTTCGGATTGGCTGCCAGATGCGCAGCAAGACAGCGAAGCGCGGGAAGACCAGCAGCGAGGTACACGTCATCGGGCGCGGCTTGCGACGGCGCAGCGAGGTGGAGTTGGGGTGGAGTTGTTCTCTGTAGCCTCTCGCATAACAGTTCCGCATCCACCAGGAGGAGGGCAAGACCGAGCAGAAGAAGGGCACGTCGCGGCCACGTCATGGGAGGAATCAAGAAGAGAGGCGGAACGAGGCGGAACACGGATGACCTGGCGACGATCACCGTAACCATCACTTGGGCCAAGCCATCAAATGCTATCGACTAAGTCTATTTCTCAGTCATCGTCGAACGTAACAGCCAAGATCCCGGCGCTCTCCGGTCCCGACATCCTCTCAGCCGTCCAGCCGCGCAACCATGCCTGCAACTCTCCCCGCTCTTGCACAAGATTCCCGCCGACTTCGTCACTGCCGTCCCAGCTGAGCGAATACGAACACTCGACGCGGCGCACGTTGGGAAATGCCTCTCCAAAAACGGCGGCCCCTAGCATCGGCCAGGGCTCCGTGATCTCGGCGAGTCCGCGCGGGAGGCCGTCGGCGGGTTTCCACTGCAGCTTGAAGCGCCAATCGAAGGAGAACCGGAGCGTGGACACCAGCGGAGCGTGCGCTGCGATGAACGGCAGGAAGCGGGCGAACGCGGGGTCGAGCTGGGGGGCGCTGGTGGCGGTGATGTAGTACGGTGCCTCGGCATGCAGATGGAACGTGCGAAGGCGGGGGAGGGGCGGCAGCTCGGGGCAGTAGGCAACAGAGACTGGCACAGCGCGTTAAATGCATTACTGTCCGAGAATGCTAGACGTACTCCACGACCAGCTGATCCAAAGCTGGCGCACCACGCTGAAGAGCGGCGCGAGGCGGTAAAAGTTGTCGTTGGCGTAGTATTGGCCCGCCGCGGTTATGTCTACTTGCAGCGACATATTCACGATGTTCCAGTCCACCAAATGCAGTTCGTTGTTGTCGACCGCAAGCGGGAGGAAGCGCATGGGGGTCTCCAGACCCGCCACATGGAATATGTCGATTCGCTGGAGCTGTGGACGCGTGATCGCATGAAGCACCGCCGCTGCGAGCCCGTCTGGGACGCGCATCTTATACTGGGAGTTGCTGTGCAAGAACGGCGAGAGAATCGCGAGGCGGATGACAGTAGTGGCGAAGCGTTGCAAGACCGTCTCGAGCAGCCGGGCTTCCGATGCCTCTGTGCTGAGTTGGATGTGCAGCTCCTTGACGAACCGAACGAGATAGGGCGTCGACGCGAAGAAAACACAGCCCCGGATGAACGAATCGGCCTCTTCTCGGCCTATCGTGCGTTTTTGGAGGACGACGGTGTGGAAGAGCTGGGCTTCGCAAGCGAGCCGGAAGGCCCTTGCCGAGGCAAGACAGGCACATAGCGCCTTGTTGTCCCCGGCGAGGTAGAGCACGACGGTTTCCAACAACTCTTGAGGGAGCGACATGAGTGTCGGTCTCAAGCGGCAAGATTGATGTCACATCGCGTCAGATTTGATTGGATCGCCAATCATGGCTGTCACAATTTCCTTTTCTTCCCGAACTTCCATCTCGCTCGCAGCTCGCTCGCTCAGCACACAGTCATTATCTCGCCGCTCCTTCAAACGCACACTCTTTTCGTTACGTCTTCCTCCGACACAGTCATGCCCGCCATTTCCGAACTCGACCCCGCCAACAACCCCTCGCGTCCGACCCCGTTGTCCAGCATCTCCATCGGCTCCCACGTTTACACCTCCGCTCAGCTGTATCGCGCCGTCCGTATCTTGGTCATCATTCTCGGTGTCTGCTTCCTCGCCTATGTCGTCGTCGTCATCCTGCCCAAGGTCATTGTGCGGTGCATTAGCTGGTTCGTCAAGGAGGAGGAGGTGCCGGTGCGCGACTCGCTCTCTGCGACTATCATTTCTCACTGAATACTTCCTTCACAGACAGAACAAAAGCTCCTCGCCCCACAGTCTCCTTTCGCCTTTCGACCACAGTCGTCGGACCTCAAGGAACTCAAGACGCGACCGCTTCTACTGTCCAACAAATTCCCGTCTTCTGTTTCTCAGTCTCAGATCGGATTCCAGCTCCCGACACGCTCCTCCATTGGATTGCCCAACGTCAAGCTCACATTGCGCGCCAAGATGTCCTCCTCGCCTCGCGATGCATTTGCTTCGACGAACGACAAATGTTCAGATGATCACACCGTCGACGTCGAAAGCCTTCATCTCGCTCAGAATATCGACGATCCTCTTCTTCGCGCCGCAGCCGTCGTCGTCGGTGGTTATTATCCGCTCGACCTCAAGACAGTCTCTCCTTCAACGCACTACGCCTGGCTGGTCACTCCAAACTCGCGTCTGGGCAAGGCTCGCAAACCCCCGACGGCGGCGCTGTTGTTTCCTCCGTCCAATGCAGTCATGTATCCACGGCCCACGTCCATATTTCGCACGAGCTCCGGGTGGAAGCCCCGGCCCTCGTCTACAATCGGTGAAGAGAACTTGGTCAAGGCCAAGGCGGAGCGAAGGCGCAAGCAGGAGAAGGAGCGGAAACAGAGCAAAAGCGACAAGCTCAAGCACAAGAAGGTCAAGTCGGCTGGGCTCGTCAATCGTTTCGGCTGGCGATATAAGAAGCAGGCGGAGGACGATCGGGAGAAGCTGATACCGCGCGGGGACTCGGAGGTGAAGCGAGTGGAGCAGCTGAAAGATGCCTGTGGCGCCTCTCCTGACAAGAGCCCACGACGTCGACCGGTGTTGCAACAGGTAGTGAATCGGGATGTTTAGCTAGACGGGGACTGATGGTAATTTGGGAGGAATAAAATGCTCTAATTGCATCTGGGGATGGTGTGATGTACATTTGATTGGTAAAGCAAGGTCCGTTCCAATGATGAATAAATGCTTCTGCCACTGCCAGCGTCTATTCGTAGTGCCATCGATATTTCTGGGCCTCCAGGTCCAGCTGCGCGTCCTCCCGGCCATATACGTGCACTATTTTGGCCGCGAGGTCGTGTATCGTGGAAGAAAGGGATCTGCGATGGCCGTTGGAGGCGTCGGGTGTCTGGGGTAGCCGTTAACGCGGCATCAGTTTAGCTAGAATGCAACGCACCTCCACCGGAGACTCCTCGCCTTCGAGATTCAGGCCCGTCCCGTCGAAGCGCGTCATCACGCGGCGGAGCTGGAGGGCCTCGGGGGAGGTGAGCGGGACGGGCGTCGTGCGTTTGGGGGAGTGCGACATTTGGGTGTGGGTCACCAGGGTGGGTGTGTTTTTTCTGGGCGAACGCCGTCGCGCGCGCGAGCTCTTGTACTGGCCGGCGTGGAAGCACCGCCGAGCTGGGCGTGCCTGGAGTGCTGGTACAGATCGGCGGCACCTCGGATGATTGCGGGAGAAGAGGGCGGCCGGCGCCGGAGGGGGTCTAGACCGGGCGACCGCCGATCTCGAGTGCTTTCGATTCTCAGAAGCAGAAGATGGCGGGGTTAGAGTTGGGTTAGAGCAACTGCCTAGGCTCGGCAACCAGCGACGGCCATGAACAACCATCGAGGAGCTCAGATCGAAAAACCCGATTTGGATTCACCCGTGGGATTCCGCGCAACCAGCCTTGCTACAAATACAGTACCAGGAAGATGAAAGACACGCACACAACACCGCTCTCGATACCTTACATAACACCGTCTTTCCAACAAGCGACGGCACAGTACTATACACACGGAGCCGACACCGTGACGGTGCTGCTGAACGTGCCGATTGTACTAAACTGCGTGCTGGAGTCGAGCTCTGGGCCGTTCTTTCCCTGCGGCCGTGGCACGCGTCTCCAAAATGCCATCGCGTCCAGAATATCCTGAAGGGACTTGTATCAGATGATGAACGTCCAAGCGACGACATGCGTACCGTCTGAGAGCCAAATATCAGGGCTGCGGCAACGGGAACTACATTCATGAGGGACTGTGAGTGAATACGGTTTCTGAGGCGCAACACAACGACGCACGGAAGGCGAGCAGCAGGTTGTACACCGGGAAAATCCGCCCCACGAGCCGCGGCACGTACGTCAGGAAGCTGAGCACGAGCCCGACGAACGGAAGGATGGCGAATGCGGAAACGCGGATAATGGAGCCAAGCTCTACGCCCGGCTCGTTGCGTCTTTGCAACGCACGGAACGCGCGCCAGTGCCGGCAGAGGAGAATGAATGTAAGGACTACACTTGTTTGAGTACTAGGTTAGACAGGATGCAGAATAATAGACCTTCGATGACGAGGACCGCAATCGTGACGAAGCCGACGAGGGCGGCGCAGATTATCGTTCTGACCGGAGTGAAATTGGGCAGTGGGCGAAAAGAGAATCAAGACGCACGGAATGGGTGTTGTGAGATGGCAGTAATATCCTCCCGGCTCGAGCTCCACAAGGCTCGCATTCCGTAGTCCGACCTGCAGAGCATTGAGTGTCCTGACTCCGGTTGCGCAGTTCCAGGCTCACAATGAGTGTCCCAAGGAATAATGAAAGATAGACAAGCACGGGAAAGGTCATGAGCTGGGAGATTTGGTGAGCGGTATGCGGCTCGGCTCGCGGAGGACGGACAAAGACAACAAACCAGCGGGGGACGTGCGTTCGCTTTAATCGAGTAGAGATCGTGATATATAACTGCGATGACATCAGTTGGCGAAAACCCGGGGGATGACACCAACGTGCAGAAGGAGCGCTAGCGTGGCGAACCCGGCGTACGGCCGCGAAGCATACATCATTGCAGCGTCTACTGCACAAGGAAGCAACCCCGGCGGGGAAGTGAAACGCGTCTGGTGGCCCAAGATGGGGAACGGGATCAGGCAGTAGATGGCCCAGGCGGCAATGTAGGTGTACCATGTCGACACACGGCGCACGGTGCGGGAGAGTGCGGCCGTTACGAAGGTCAGGAGAAGGAGGATGAAGCCGGTTGCGGAGAGGATATTGAATGCCATGACGGCGGCGGGATTCTGGCTGGCGACTTCCTCGGGGCGCCCTGTGCGCGCGCGGATAAGGTAGCAGTCAAAACAGTGAGTGCATCACGCACCTCGAGGCACCACAGATGTAACAGAGCGAAATGAATAGTCCATGGTGAGGAAAGAAAAAAAGACCCGCTGGGGGGTGCCGAAGGGAGAAAGAAAAAGAGGATAGCCAGAAACCCTGACGGAACGGCGAGTGAGCGAGGGCTACTCTTTAAGGACATACGACCCACCGCCTTCGCTTGCCGTCCCAGCCCCCGACACTGAAACCAGCGCAGAGATCCCAGACGAGCTAAAATCGACGTGATCTGCACTGCCAAAGCTGGCCGCAATATGCCCCGAAATGGGGCGGATTGGCGCTCCCCGCGATTTTCCGCGTTCAAGCCTCCCACGAGCGACGCGTACTTGCGCCTAGTTTGTATATATGCGGTGCGGGGAGACAGCCATCGCGATTCGCCTTCCCGGATGGCATCAAGCAAAACGGACAGTTGGGCGTTCGCGAACGTGGGCGGGGATCCTTGACCGCGGGCGAGTCAGCTTGATACGTTCAGGGCGGTCGGGGATCGAGTGAGTGATCTGTAAATAGTGAGAAAGGAAGAAACAGCCCGCAGCAAACACGCAGTATGCGCACATTCAGGCCACTATCAGATATACGCTAGTCCGCGCGCGCGCGGTATGTGGACGTGTCCTGGGGCAAAATTGGTCTGACGAGCTGCTATTGGATGGAAGAGGCTATACAAACAGGTGGACAATACGTGCCTCGACGATAACACCTCCCCGCCGGCGACGACACTTACTATCCACAAATCCCGTTGCCAGTGCTCGGCCCTCGACAGTGACCTTGTGCATTGGCCGCAAAAAGTAAAAACAGCACTCAGCCGTGTCCACAGCCAGTGAGGGCAACATCGGAGGAGAGGAGAAGAATTTTTCCTGTGACGTGGCACGGAATGATCGGGCTGTGACAAAAAGATGATGAGCATTGATCATCATGCATCACATCACGGCTAAATAGTCGAGATCGATAGTCTTTCACCTCTCTAGACTGCTAGGCTGCTAGCTTGAGCTAGAACAGCTCTAGCTAGGTTGTGGGGGCACCTCCAGCTGTATTTATGAGGCAGCAGTAGTGGCATTCAGTCAAGGGGGTCCCAACTTTCAAAAATCGGATTAGGGTGCAGGATGTATATCCGGAGAGCAATAGAAACAGGCTCAAAATATCAGCTGGTTTGAAAACCGGTTTGTAAACCGGGATCTATTACAAATCGACTAAAATGAGGTTTTTTTGAGTCCAGCCGAGAAATTTCGCTTCCCGAGTGGCTTTGCTGGTCTATTCACTGCCTGCTTGTGTCCAACAAACCCTCCAAACTTCTCTGCACCAGTAATTGGAGTGTCGCTGAGCAAATCATGAAAGAAAGAACTTGAACCGTTGATCGTGGGCGTTTGAATGTCGAACGTGAGGGATGGGAGATGGACAGGAGCTGAGTCGCGGGAATCGAGGGGCTCGTTGAAGTTTCTTTCAGGCCATCTGGGACCCCCCTCCCCCCCCCTTACCATATTGGGTAATATATTGCCATGCTAGAATGCTACACATATACTTCAAACACAACCTCAAACCCACCAAAACTGTCAAACCCTGGGTTCAAAAACCCTTTTTCTTCGCCCTGTAAACCTTTTATTTTGGCCCTGGTTGATAAGATAAGACAAGGAGGAGATAAGATGGACGATAAGATGGTGATTGGATCATCAGATGTCGATGCTGATGTTGATTGACAGCGTGGAGTTGGACATGAGGCAAACAGCATGTAAAGGCATGGCTAAAGTATGACGTCATTGCCTCTCGTATTAGGCATGGTAAACACATGGTAGTAGTGTATATAAGTAGAGTAGATTTCGTCTTGTACCCCAGTCTTCGAATTGCATCATCTTTACAATATCTTTTCACAGTGCTTCTTGCTTGCCTTCACTGGCCAACTGGCATCCTCTGAATTGGTGTTGTTTGTGACAAAAACCCCCCCAAACTTTGGCATAGTAAAAGTTTTTTTTCACCATGCCCGGACCCTGCCCCCCCCCCATATCCATGATAAGGATCTTGGGACCCCCTTGCATTCAGTTGCCAACTAGCTACTACTTGATAGCTAGGGCTGTACAGTTACAGCGAGAATGTAGGATACACCCCGATTAGGTAGACCCCATGTAACACATTACAAATTCATGTGACCATGCCTCCCTTTACCTCTGACGTGTTTATTAACACGACGACATGTTTGTTGGCCCCATAATTCAGCATAGCCTCCATAACGACAGGCAGATAAATGGAGGGGGTGACAAAGCTCATTCACATTAAGGGGAATATAGACTGGTTTTAATATGTTAAGATTCTTGAACAAGTTTCTTGACCACTGTGATAATCACTCTACATTCTTGCTACATTGCGTTCTACCCACATCCTCTTTCAACAAGGCAATGTCGTAAACACAAGGCTCACTACACAAGAGATTTTCTGTGCAATAAAGCAGTCAATGTCACATATTCTGGGCTGCCAAATCACCTGACATCTCACCAGTAGAGAATGGTCAGGCTTATCTAAAGTGTAAGATTTGTGTCCAGCTCCTCACTCAGACCACCTGAGCTATAGGTTCTGTAGCAGGTCTTTCATTTTCCGCAGGATCACACACATCCTAAAAAGGTAATTTGTGCATATGATTACGCCGCCCGCCCTAGATGGCACATTGCCATTCCCATATTTAGACCTTTATGTGCAAATAATTTAGTGCAAAAAGTTTTCACTGTCTGCATGTGTGTGTTTTTGTGCATTGTCTGCCTGTCCTACCGCCTACTTTTACCTTCCACCACCCCATGCTTCAACCCAAGCCCAATTATGGCATCCTCCCTTGGTAGATTTCGTGTCGCCAATACCATTCCAGCTGATAGCTCGTCTGTACAGAACCGGCAACCTCTTTTAGGGCAATGGAGCCAGTCGTGCTATTGCCACCAGTCACCCCACTACCAGATGCTCAAGCTGCTTGTGCAGCGTTTTCCTTGAAAACAGGCAGTTCTCGTACCAAACCTGTCTAGTGTCCTGCCACTAGCCTTATTGACTCATGGGATGCGGACACACAATAGTGCACATGGGGATTCAGGCCTGGTCCGCCCAACGGTGCTACCCACTGTGCCATTACCACTGCTGCCTACAACACCATTTACTAGACAAGATCTATAGACCATACAGTGTGCTGCCACCAACTTTGCCTGGACTACCCTTGCTGTAAAAAAACATTATACTTATGTTTTGTAGCTAGTTTCTCTTAAATTGATCATATTATTATTTTGACCCAAATGAAATATTTCCACCAAAAGGGTGGAACAGGGTGGGAGGTGTTGGTGTCACAATCCCCGGAATTCCCTTTTTTAAATGCATGACCCTGCGAAAAAAATTGTGTCTTCCTGTAGCTGCTTCTTAGTTAACCTATAGTCATACTGCTTAAGACCACTCTAGTTATTTGCCTTACCAAAGCTGCCTTAACATTGACAAGCCTCCAAGGCTCATCAGGGTTGCTTAGTCAGCATCCATCTTTCCAAACTGTTCCTAGTTCCTGTTTCTTGTATTGAGTTCTCTGAGTCTTCTGTATGTTTTTAGTACAAAAAGCCATGTACTAGAGTAGTTTTATTTATCATATTCTTTGCGTTATTATTCAAAAAAAAAAATAGATATAATAATAATATTTCTATGCTTTCTTAGCTCTAGCCTGCATATTTAGATATTTCTAAAAGTATCTAAGCATAAACAATATTAAGATAGCTACTCTCACAATATTATAAAAATAGCAGTTGTTTAAATTGTCTGTTATTGCCCTCCTGCCTATTGTTATATGCCTCTGCCTACTTAATTTGCTCTACAAGGTTAGACAGGTTAGATTAACTAGAAATATTATACTTAAACAGCTAATAGGCATTAATAATATGTTTGAAATCAGGTAGAGGAAAGACTGGCTGGTCATGTGTGCCCGCCTTCTGCCCTTACAGGGCGCTGCCTGCCATTAAAATCGAATATTTTCATGTAATTAGGGACAAAGCACATTACAATATCATCTCTTTCCTCTCTCCATAGCCTCCTACACAGGCAAATTCCAGCTCTTGAAGCCAGTTCCGACGACAGTGATGCCCTGGGAGCGCCCAAATAGCCCCGCGGCATTCCCAGACCTTCTAACACCAGTGTTGTACATAAGGATAACCCTTATTTTCATTATAAGGTAAGGCCTTATTGGGGGTTCTAAGCCAAGATAAGGCCTTATCTAGCGTTATCTATACCCGTGACATCATTGATGGTGACATCATTGATGTGACACCGCCGAATTTTTCTCCCTCTCATGTCTTGTATGCCGCCGAAGCTTGGCCCTATTTGGGGCCCATTCCACCGTCCTGCTGACAAGCCCAATGGCCAACACAACCGGGGCTTCCGCTGGCGCTGCATCTTGGCATGCCGTCCAGCATCGGCTGCAGTTATCATCGATGTCGAGAAAAATTGGACGCAGTTAGAGCAAGAGGACTGGTTTGATGAGGGTGCGTGGTAGTGTTGACATTGCATCTTCATGTGTTCATGTACTGTATTGCAGCTGTCAATACCATGTCAACGGAGAAGAAGGACGCGAACGGAACGAAAACAGCGCTTGCTGCACATCTGCGATCATGCAAGCACGCAACAGATGCTGAACGGCAGCTTGCCGTAACGGAGTAGCCAACACAGAAGGAGAAGGAAGAGGCACAGCTGAGGGCTAAGAAGAGGAAGGGGCAAGTTGATATGCCGCCATACTTAGATGGAGATGATGAGGGAAATGGTAGAGGGGACCTACCAACGGGCAGGAAGTGCAAGGTGGTGCGGAGAGTGAATGATACCTTCAAACAAACACAGCTGAAGGCCTTCAAGGGTGTCGACATGCCATTTACCCAGGACCAAAAAGAAGCCATTGAGAGGCAGACACTTCGTGCAACACAATCAGCCAATCTTCCCGAGCGTTGGACGGACGACCCGGAGGTCATGACACTATTCATGATGCTCCGCTCGCAGGCAGGCGACGTTATCCCTGGGCGACGGGTGATTGGGGGTCGATTGCTAG